CCTGCACTAATATGACGTCCAGTAGGGCTTTTATATGGGACTGAGTGGTGGGGTTGAGTGGAGCGCCACCTCTATTTTACCCAACGATACGTACTCTCCGTTTTGGAGTTTATGTAAATCCGTGCGCCGGTCGACGATACGTACGGTGCCGTCCGGATACAGTTCCCCGATGTCCCCCGTGTGGAACCATCGCACGCCCCGGGAGTCCACTCGGAACGCTTCGCGGGTCTGGTCGGGAGACCCGTAGTAACCGGTGACCACTGATTGGCCGCCGATTACTATCTCTCCCCGTGGATAGGGTGTGTCTGATGTGTGATACCCGCCCTCATCCCAGTCGCTTAGCCTGAGTTTAACCCCCGATAGGGGTCCGCCTACCCGCCCGTACGATAGGTCCTCGGAGTCCATACCTAAGGTTAGTATTAATTAAACATTATTTACATTAATTTAAAATATTATATTTTAATTAAAAAGCTAGTTAATTAAAATATACTTATATTTAATAACCTCATACCAGATTTGACTTATTTTAAAATACAGTAGGAGTCTAACCACTTATTTCAACAGCAACAATTTAATCAATTTATAATGAATATATTTGCAATTAAATAGCTGTAAAACTAGCATCGCATAACATAACTGCCATCTGTAATAATTATATTTCAATAGAATTTAAAATTATTTATTTGCCTTATAATGTGTTTTGCAAAATTAAGTAAGTGATCTTGTCGATAACAATGAGCAACCGTGAAATGTAAGTTACATTTTAATTACATTAACATAAGTTATGTAAAGCTACAATAATAAAACATTTTTGGGTTAAAAAAATAATGGTATTAGCTAACTTTTAGCAATCATTTTGCATGATAATAATATCGTACTAAATCATAATAATTTATTTATTAAATTGTAATACATTACTATTAAATGATCCTAAAACTTAACTAAATTAAATTTATATATTAACCAAGGTATTGCTAGCAAACAAAATTAAATACTCCAGAATTTAATATCTAATATAATATTGTGAAAATTGTGAAATCATATTAATTTATATACCCTGGGCATTACAAATAAAGGCATTTAAATAACGAGATACTCACATAATACTGCACCCAGGGTTTCCGTAGCTCCATATCCCTGCACTAATATGACGTCCAGTAGGGCTTTTATATGGGACTGAGTGGTGGGGTTGAGTGGAGCGCCACCTGCGATGACAATATCGAGTCGACCGCCCAATTGCTCCCTAACCTTACGACACACCAGACTGTTGACAATCGGGCACCGGTAGCCTTGTCGAGTCCATTTAGTTTTATAGTCAATTAGATACCCGAATAGGTTAACCAAAATCGGGGACCGGGCGTCCAGTTTGTCGCCCACCTCTTTCAGTAGCCTATCCAACACCAGGGGAACTGTAGTCATGATAGTAGGCTTTAGTAGTTTTATGTCAGATGTCTGACCCCTGGCCAGTCCCGGAGCCGTATCGGTGAGAGTGAATGGCGACGAATAGCCGATTCGGATACCGGTGTAGAAGTAGAAGAACTCTTGGGTCAGCTCTAGTATGTGAGCCAATGGTAGAAACGCTACGTACGTGTGGCTACGGGCGCCGCCTATCCATGTGATAACCGATAGTAGAGCCTGGGCTGACCCCTCCATCATCTGCCGGTGCGTCGCTACTGCGGCTTTCGGGGCGCCGGTAGTGCCCGACGTATACATTATGAGAAACGGGTCGTCGGGTTGTGGTGTCTTGAATGGTGTGTCCGAAGACT